CATTTTGATAATTTCCAATAACCAACCAATGTCCAATCATAATGGCATATAAGTGACCATTACTTGAAAAAAAATAAAAAAATCTATGGGTCCAGGTGGAAAAAGGTTGCAGCAGCACTATGAAATAATTATCCTTTGGATTTCTGCTACAACAGAATTGTGGTGATCCTTAAGTTTCAAGTTAAATCATAGTACATGGAGTAAGGTGCAGACCCCTTGAGTGCCAATAATTCATCTTTGATGAAGGGTCCCTCCATGGTTGCAATGCAAGTTGGAATGCATTAAAACCTGCAGGCTTTTTGCAGTATCCACTATATAGTGTGCTACATGACAAGCTTGTATCCTTGCCATACATGAACATTGATATGACTCCCCCTGTGGTGAAGGTATGAATAGGCATTCCATTGAACATAAACAAGACCTGACTAAGGTAGTGTGGTGTGTTTGGATTGCATTGAAAATTTGTAACTTACAAACTTCCCTATGCTACATGATGAAATTAGAAGACCAAAGGTCGTGAAATGATAATTTCAGCATATATAGAATCGAGACGTTTATTTCTGTTCCAAAAAATTGATGTTAGTGCCAACATATGCTTAATTTTGAATCTTTATATCATTGATGGTTTCCTCAGAGAGTTCTTACTAATGATCATTACTATTAAGGACTGGTTCTTTCCATAGTAGTTAATTACTAAACAACGAGTGACCTTAATTGTATGTGTACAGTATTTGGTCGATGTTCCTTTTTGTAGTAACCATGCAATGCATGGTTTCATTTAGTTCTGCAAAAAGGCTTGACAATTATGGCTTGGTCATGTAGTAGTAGCCTTTATGGAGTCTTACTTTTACACACTCATTTTTTTACGTCCCTCTCACATTCCTTTTGCACGATTAAGTTTATCTCTAAATCTGAGTCATATCAACTCTTTGGTGCACATGTCTTACAATCTAAAGACTCAACACACATTTTTTTTTCAATATACATGTGTGTAGGTATCAATACCAAATTAATGATTTTTTATTTTTTTTGGGTATACACCCTATTAATTAAAGGTGTTTATGAGCTAAAATATATGATTTCTGATTCAGCACCCCTTGGTTGAAAAAACAAACCGATCAGACAAACGAAAAGCGAGGATGTGATATGTGATTGACCATGGAGAGAAGATGGTTCACTCTACCTACCTGAAGCTCAATTAAGCTGGGTTACCACTGTATTTTCACTGCTACACTTGTGACAAACAAGAAATTGTGATTATTCATGAATATGTGAATGCATTCAAGGCCATATACGTAATAATTTATTTTTTCCTTTTGCTATTTCAGTATGGAGAATCTTGTGCAAGCAAATGAAATGGAGGGACCAGGTTTCTCTGATCAAATGTGTCAGGTGTGCAGATTGTGGCATTATTCATACATGACTATGATAGTCCATTTAGGACACTACATATTATTATTATTATTATAATAATAATAATAATAATAATAAAGAGGTTGGGATTCCACTCGATGTTTAATCAAATCCTAGATGGGGTCAAGGGAGTGTTGTTTTGAAGATTCATGCTGTCTCCTACCCCATACCAGAAAGTCTTTTGTACGATTATGACAACCATTTCACATGTTGGAGTTGGACATTATTTAAACCCCGTTTGGCAGCTGTAATTCTTTTTTCACTTTCTATTTTTTGAAGTTAGATGTTGTCCTTCTTGACTACTTTTTTTGGTTGGATTTTGGCTCATTGTTACTTTAAAAATAAAACAAAAAGATCGTCTCCAACTGGACATGATAGGTTAAAGGGTGATCAAACAGTCAAATTATTGATCCTTAGTCTCCTAAATTATTTGCCCTTGTCTCATAAAAGATGCAATTCATAAGAGCTATGCTTTCCGGATATTGTTATAAATATATATATATATATATATATATATATATTCCAGTTCAACACTCCAGCTAGTTTATATAAGTTTAATTTCTTGATCAAATTAATTGAAAACAGTTGTTATATAATCAAAAGTTTTTTATATTTTCAAGTAATCTATGAAGTGATATAGGAGAAGATAGAAAATTAAACGCAAAAAAATTACCCCCAAATATATAAAAATGCTAGGAGCACTTTGCTTGTATATAGTGAGAGTTGAAAGTGTATATTGTGGTGCGGGCTATAGATTCGAACAAGGCCTAAGTGGAAAATAACCATTACCATTGGCACTATTAAAATAAGAGCTAGGCCATGATGATTGATGAAGACTATAATTTAAAGCCTATTATTCCATGCACAAATGGATGCGATGCTTTGAGTGTTGGGGAAAAAAGATTAGGATACACACAAGTGGGGGGTTAAAAGCTGAGACTTATCTTACTATCCAGTTAGCATTATGGCTTAACTGTAGCAAAAGTGCATGGCAGGTTGGACCCACAAATTGCCACACACAACCATCAAACATAGGACTGCTAGTTGATTGGGATAGCATGAGAGAAAGCTTCATAATAATAAGATCCATTTTGAATAAAGATAGTGGAGTGGCCATCATAATTTCTGCTTTGAGGAGAGGAATAAAAATAATAAAATATTGATTATTGAGGGATGGATTGATGCAGTGTTCGATCAATTGCAATGCTGTTAACACACTGTTCTTGGGGCCACCAACTACAAGTAAGAAACTCAGAATTTTCACAATGGGACCCCCTTGCGGATGAGAGTCCTATCTTGGGATTCTCTTGTTTAATGTGTTGATAATGGTAAGATTCTATTTAACCTTCATTTTCTTGGCTCCATGCATTTATTTTTGGAAAACTATTGCTTCACATGTGTGTAAAGCAGATGGAAAATAATAATAATGTGATAACAAAATAAATATAAGAATTGTATATTTTTCACATTATACAAAGACTAAAAGAGTGCTTTATTTTAGAAAATAGCCTTCTTTATTTAGTTTAAATTATTTTACCTAATCATAATTCAAGTTTAGAAGCTCGTCAAAATAATATTAAATATAAATAGTAATCCAACTTGAGTTGATTTTGAAAGAAAAGTTACCATGGCAGTTTTGTATGATAAATTTTTAAAAAAGAAATATTTCGTTTATTATATGAATATTTATACATGCATGAAATTAATGTCATTGGAAGAAGATATTTATTGATAGGTATTTTATTTGCCACTAGGGTAGCTAATTTTAATTTGATCACAATCTCATCAATTTGGTTTTTAACATAAATGTATTATTAAAAAATTGTCATTTATTAAGTAATAAAAACTATCAAATATTAAAATGTTTTTATTATAATTTTTAGTAAAAGGGGTGGCTTATTGTCATTTGTCACAAACTTAGGGGACAATTTACGAATGCTCCCATATATCCAGTGTCCTATACTATGGTCTACAATAAAAATATGTATGTTGAGTAAATTTATTTTAAAGGCATCTTCTAATGTATGTGGTCCTTTACCTCCCAACAATTATTGTACCTCATAAAATGAGTAATTAAAATTTCATGTTAATTATTGTGTGTTTCATCTCATTTTTACTGATATACTTATTCATCTATATAAACAACATGAAATTGAAGTTGAAGCATAATTTTGAATTGCTTTATTCTAATTTTTAAATGGTCAATGACAAAAATTTTATGGAAAGAAGTGTCAAATTTTTTTAAATTAAAAATCAGAACCAAGATTTAATTTATCCTCTACTCTCTGATCTAGTTTTTGTTTTTTCGATAGATTTTTTGTTTGTTTGTTTGTCAGAACACAGAATTAATCTATATTTATTTATTTTTATCAATACTAACAAGTCTTATCTCATTAATGTATTTAATTTTTTATAAAATAAAATAATTTATTTATTTATTAGCTTATTTTTATATTTAACCCTCTTAATCCAAACATACCAACATATATTTAATTTCTTTTTCTTTATTGTTAGTGATTTTCTGAGCTGCAAAAATTGCTTTTTTGAAGGACACTGTTCGTTCTATCATTTTCTCTGCGATTCCTTGTTTACCTTTTTGTAGCCTCATTTACCTTTCGTCCAAACGCTGCCTCCAGCGCATCTAAGCTCTTGGCTCAGTAAATTATTGAACAAAATATAACCAAAAAAAAAAAAAAGTATTATATGAATGCTCTATAAATTGTTGATGAACATTGATTTAACAAAATTTTGACTATGCAACTTTCACTCATTTAAGTTTTTTTATAGTTTATTTATTACTTTTTCTAGAGACATTTGTTCATTTATTACTGGTTGTTCTTATAGTTTTATTTAGAATAAATATACAATTTATTTTAAAAAATGGAAATATGTATTAATTTAATTATTGAAAATTACGTGTATCAATTTAGTTCTTCAATCTTTTAATTTGATTTTCTATATTATAAATTCAATAATTGAATACATTAATTTTAGTTAAAAAAACTCATAACATCTATATTTACACTCATTTTGATTGGTCAAATTAACACAAATATAAGTTTTAAGACTATCAAAATTACGATAAAAAACAGTAACTAAAATTGATATATTTAAATTTTTTTAATATATTTAAAATTGGTAAAATTTTATTAAAAAATATTTATTATATTTTTATAATTTTAATACAATAAATATGTATTTTTATCATTAAAGACTTTTTATTGAAAGATGCATAAATTTAGACTTAATAGTTATGTTTAAAAAAGCTTTATTTGAAATAATAATCCAAAATCAAATTATACACATATTAGTTTAACATAAAATGACAAGTGAATATAAAATTATTGATTTAAAAAAAAGAAAGGATAATAAAACGGGTAAAGTATGGCAGCGACTTTCTAAGGTTTGTCGGAGTGGTTGCCCACAAAAAGATTCATACAAATTATAAAAACTGAAAAAGCACAATCTTCAAAGGAATTTTTTCACAAAATTAATCTGAAGAACAAAGCAATCACAGTTCCATATTCTCTTTTGCATATTAATGTAATTAATTACAATATCTTATTCTTCAAGGTCCTCATTATTAATTCAATATTCCAATTTTTTCTTTTTCTTTTTTTGTTACACCACATACTTACACTGCCATTCATTACTCTCAGTTCAACAGAATCCAGCGAGTTTCATTCATCAGTTTATATAGAAACAAACAGAACACATCAAACCTCAAAGAAGCTTCTCTTCATCAACGCTTAAAAGAACTTTTTTTTTCCCTCCACTGTTAAATTCTGATTCTCCATTCTTAGTTTCTGTTGCTACCTCTTTCTCTCTCTTCTTTTCCAATTTTGAGAATAAGGGAAACCGTCGAAGTAGTAGTGTGAGGTGAAGTTTGATGTCTGTGCCATTGGAGCAAGGCTATGGAGGGTTAACTGAGGTTCCTGCAATGGAAGGTTCTCAGAGGACTAGCAGTGGCTTGAACCTTAAGGCTACTGAGTTGAGGCTTGGTTTGCCAGGTTCTGAGTCACCAGAAAGAGATGGTGGTGTGGTTATGGAGGACAAGAGTGTTACTGTGCACCCTTTAGGCATGCTCAAGAGTTTGGTGTCTGGGGCTAAAAGGGGTTTCTCAGATACCATTGATGGGGGTTCTGGGACGTGGCTTCTCTCTGGGAATGCTGGATCTGAGGTGGGTTTGGGTAAAGATGGTGCCTTGTTCTCTCCCAGGGGTGTTGGTGTTGGAGCTGGCAAGGTTGAGTGTACCAATCAACAAACTTGTGTTGTCAAAGATAAAGTTCCTCAGTCTCCAAAGCCATTGAATGAGAAGAAGCCTCAGTTATCTGCTCCTGCTGCAAAGTAGCTATGCCTTCCTTTAGCCTCATCTTTCCTTTATTTTTTTTTTGCTGTTGGAAATTTGAAAGTTTATGGTGCCTAATTTTGAAGATGTTTTATTTTGCAATAATTTGTTTTCCTTGTCACAAAATTTGTCCACTTTTTGTTGTTGATGTCCTGTTGTGTTTAGAGTTTTCTCAATTTTGTGTGTTTAATAACAAAATGTTGGAAGCATGAAGAAAATGGGATAATTCAGAGAAAAAGGAAAGGAATTTTTATTTATTTATTTTATATAATATATTTAAAATCTACTTGGTTTAAGTTTAAACTGAAAAAAGTGATAAGAGTCTATGAAGGGGAGACATTTTTGCTCCCTAACTGTTCTTGTTAATAATTATCTTCTCATGTTAGCCTCTTGTGTTAGAAAAGTTCTTGTTAACTCTATGTAGTTTAGGGAATATTCCTTCTATGTTTATCATCGTCTAAAGGTTGATTTAGTTGTTCTTGAAATTTTCTTCATCTTGGTTATCTGGTATGATTTTGGATTGAACTCCTCTGATTATTCAGTGTCCTGTATGACTAAAATTCAATTTCCATGGTGAAAGTTCTTTTTTTCATTCTGCATGTTGTTGTGTACTTTTTAATCTATATGACCTCTACGTAGAAATTTTTCTCAACTGGGGTACCTTTCACACTCCCTATTACATAGTGTAATTTTGTCCTATTTTGTGAATCAGGGAACAGGTTGTGGGATGGCCTCCAATCCGTTCTTTCAGGAAGAACTCAATGGCCACTCAGCCTCAAAAGAATGATGATGATGCAGAAGTCAAGTCTGGGTGCCTTTATGTAAAGGTCAGTATGGATGGTGCTCCATACTTGAGGAAAGTGGATCTCAAAAACTTTGGCACTTATCGGGAACTATCTTCAGCACTGGAAAAGATGTTTACTTGTTTTACAATCAGTGAGTTTTATTTTTTTTTTTCATTACTAGCTATTTGCAATCAAAGTCTTACCCTCTTACTTGCTTGTGCATAGCTTTCAATGTTCTTTGGTTATACCAATTTTTCTCTTCATTTGATTTTGTTGAGAGAAATGTAAAGAATTTGTCCTGATCAGAACTGGCATCCTTTTAGATCTGTGATGATTAAATCAGGATCCTAAGTCTTCAAATGTCACAGGCTAAGGCTGGTTGGTTCCATGAGCTGGGGAATTTTTACAGGAGTGCTATGAATAGGTCAACTAATTCTTTACCAATAAAATGTTCTTTATGTTACAGATTCTAATCATGTTTTTATCAATGACTTGTGCAGGTCAATGTGGTTCCCATGGAGTTTCTAATAGAGATAAGTTGAGTGAAAGTAGATTGATGGACTTGCTTCATGGTTCAGAATATGTGCTCACCTATGAAGACAAGGATGGTGATTGGATGCTAGTTGGTGATGTTCCATGGGAGTAAGTGCATGTTATGTCTAATAGTGCTGTGCATTTTCTGATTGAGTTCTACCAGATGTTTCTCTTGGTATTTAGTAATAAGGACATTATTATATGTTTTCATCTGAAAAATATTAGAATCAAAGAAGGACCAACTGAAGAGTATTTGTTTCTCAAATTATCTTATTCTTGGCTTAGGATGTTCACCGACACTTGCAAGAGGTTGAGGATAATGAAGAGTTCTGAAGCAATTGGACTAGGTGATGTTGACACATAACAATCTCTACTTTCTCTTATAGAAAAGCAACACATAACATATTTTTTTAACACATTCTCAATTCACTCGTACTTTAATCGAGAACAATGAAGAGCTTGTTGCTAGCACTTCTCTTATTTATATCTTGTGGTTGAATTGAAAAATTGCAAATTTTTCTTCCAATATGAGTGCAATTTCTTGAACTCTATTCAATGGTATATTTCATCTTACAATTTTTTCTTAAAATAATGGAAATGTCTAATATCTGTTGAAGGTTTTATATAAATATTAATGTGAGCTCACATACTAGCATCTTTTTTACTCTAAAATAAATCATTAGACCCCTCTTTATTGGTACACTCATCTACATCTGCTTAATATTCCTGCAGCACCAAGAGCCATGGAAAAATGCAAAAGTCGCAACTAGCAAGATGCAACTGATACAGAAAGTTGGACTATTATTACCTTTAAGCATATCATACCAGACAGAGGCAGGTGCAGGGCACAAGCTGGGACTTCTCTTCCTTGCTTTATGTATAATCCTAAATATGGGATCCAGGTGTCCTAAACATTATAGTAGGCAATATATGTTTGTTGTAGACATTCAAGGTTTCTTAATTAGGTTTGTTTTTACTCACTTCTCTTCAAACACACTCATTGTGGACAAGGTTGAAGCTACTTTAGTATGTAAATTTTGTAACTTATGTTGCTCCCTCTAAAAGTTGATGTTAGTGAGCATTCTGACTTCAATTTGCGCATGAGAAAAAAAAAAAAAAAAGCATCGTAGTTTGATTTGTTTCTAAAGGGAATTTAATTGTGTTTAACGCCATTTAAGTATTTCAGTGTTAAGATATCTCATATTGACTAAAAATATGATTAAACACTTTTATAAGGACTTCATTAATCTTTTTCTTGTGAGTTAGGCTTAATTTTCTAATGCATAATTTTTTTTAGTGAAAAGAAATTTATTAAAGAACTAGAGTACCAGGGTAGTCAAAAGAACATTGTTGGTTGAGTTTGACTTCATACTAAATACAACTCATGAATAACATAGCTTGTTTAATGAATGTAACAAAACAAAAGAAATATTTTTTGGTTCTTGATTCATTGTCTTGAATATGAGTCCTACACAAGTTTTTACAATTTACTTCATGACTAATTAAAATTTGTCTCAATTTAAGATTCCTTCAGAGGTTAATTTAGCCTACAAAGGAGTTATTTTAAGGGAACTGTTGTTCATCCTAATCTACATCTCATTTAATTTAGCTCTTGAGGAGTGAGGCAGCACTTGCTTGGTTAGGTTTTACTGTACCACCTTTTAAGGACTCCATGAGACAATTTTTTAAAAGCAGAGTATTAAAAATTACACATAATAGGAGGTTTTGAATTTGAATTATTGTAATTTAGATTATTTGAACTCAGAAATGGTTAGATCTTGATCTTAGTTGACTTCAAAAATTGGACTTTTCCTTTCTCTCAGTGGTGTATTAATTCTATGCAATATTTAAACTTTTATTGTATATCATAAAGTGACAATTTTGTATTGCTTTGAGGTTAGAGTACTTCTGTATCTTTATTAATAAAATCCATTTTTGCTGATAAAAAAATTATCTCACTTTAATCTTTTGTAAACTTAAAGTTAATGGCAAAAATATAATGCCTCTCTGTTATCCTTAAACTTATTAATTCTAACATCACGGTTTGTATCCAGTTTATGTGCGTCAATTAATTAAGCACTGTTTAGACAAAAATCTATGTGAAATCAATATCTATCCATAAATGTATAGCCCAAAATATAACATTTTTTAATTATTAAATTATAAAAAATATTTTAAAATATAATCCTATTTATCTTAATAATATATTATCTATTAATTAAGTCGAGCAAGTTATTTGAAAATATTTACTCCTTTTTTTATATACAATGATTTTTATTGTCCACTTTATTCTTCATATGGTTTTCCTTTCACATTTTTATTAATAAAAATTATTACTTCAGGTTATATATATAATTATAAATTAAAATTATAGATATATTAGGTTTACCTTTAGTTAATGTTACACATACACTCAAAATATGTTGGTTACATAGCAGTTACCCATTTTTTTCATTTATTAAATTGCAATATAAGAATACTAATTATGTTTCTAAAATATAATTTTAATCTTGTTAGATAATAAAGTACCGTCTTACTTAGTTACTAACATATTGTAATGAGTCTAAATTGACAAAACTTTTTAGACAGACAAGACATTTAAGTTTAAGTTTGTTCTCTTTCACATTTTTCAGATTGAGTTTGTATTCAAATTTTAATATGGTGTTAGAATTTGTTCTTAAAAACCAACTTGAAGTCTAAAAAGAATTTGGAAGACCAAAAAAAGTCAAGCCAAATGAAAAAGCTAACAAAAGTTAAAAAAAAAAAAACCTATGGCATCTAAAAATTTAAGAAAAAGAGCATTAGTTTAGATAACAATGATTAGAAAAGAAAGAAGAGTTCGATAAGAAAGGCTATATTAATAAATTAACAACAAGTAGACCAAGCATGCGTCTTAAATTATCAAAGCTTTTTATATAAATAAATCAATTAAGTTTAAACTCATTCTTTTTTATATTCTTAAATTTAAATGACACTCATATTTTAGTAATTTAAACTGATAGTATATTATATACTAATTAACTCACGTATTACATGATTAAAAAAGGTAAGTTATGTGCAGATTAATAAAAAAATAAATAAAGTAAAATAAAACGAAATTATTAAAGGTTTAATATTAGATATCTTAAAATTTCATTCAATTCTATCTAATATCTTATTTCCTTTTTATTCCTTTTAATTTGGCTTGAATGGGAAAGAACAAGTCTCTTTCCCTACCTCATCATAGATATCGTATCCAAAAAAAAATGTTTAAAATTTATTTTATTTTATTTTAATTTAATTTGTTCAACTTCACTCTCTTACAAGTCCATACCTAATCTAAAGCTATATAGATATATACGATTTTCATCATCAATTACTGACTTTTTTCTTCCTTATTTTTTATGCACATTAAGGATTAGTTAATAGTTACTACTAAATATTAAGTAAGCTTTAACATTTATTGTTGGGAAAAAAGAGAAATATTTATCTGTAAAAGTATCCACATAAAAATAAAAAAATGCATAATTGTTTTTGCTAGAAAAAAATGCATAATTTTAACACAATTTAGTATTTCTATTTTCATATACAAACTTTTAATATAATTTTATTATTTTATAACTATATTTAGATAAATTACAAACTTTCTCAGGTACAATTTTTTTGTGAATAAAATTGTAGAATCACACCTAACACACAACTGTCTAAATTTTTTTTTAATATAACTAAAACACTATATATTATTGTGGTGAAAAAACAATAAATTCTCAGATTTAAAATATTTTTTATATAAGATTTAGATGAATTCACTTTAACTCAATAATCATTCTATCATATAATTTGTCCGTAAAGTTTAGACAATTGAAAAAAAATTCATGAAACATGATTATGATTTTCAAATATTCAACTCCTTAGCAAAAACAATTACCAAAGTGCAAATTTATAGATGAAAACTAAAGAGATTCACTTAACAAGAGCTCTTGTCACTGTGTACAAGAAATATCGCAATTATCAATTGCTTTTGACCTTTGGTAGTTTGAAAAACCAATCGGTATCAATGAATTTTCGATGGCTCATCGACTGTCAAAATTTTATTTGCAATAAGTGTTATAATTTTTTTTTTTCTACATCCAAATGAAGTCCTATTATACTGATGACGAAACTTCTGTAATTTGGTTAATGGTGGACAACCAAGTTATATATGGCTACGCAATAAATTATTTGGTTGAGAAAAATATTTGGACATTGTACAGAAGCAAGAAGGAAGTTTTCAACTTTTTTGTAACAAGTTAGCTTCGCAATGACAAAAAAAATCTAGTTTATCATAATTTGATCACGCATTAACATAAGACATTATTTCATTCAAAATATAATTGAAAAAGAGAGAATGAAATGTACGGTGAGGATTTTATTTGCAGAAAAAAAAAATTATGGAAAGGTTAGAGAAGATCCAAATAGGGATGTCATGTAGCTAGAAAGCAATTGCCGAGAAAATAAGCAAAAATTCAATCCAAATACTCTTCCTTTTACTCTTATTTTCTGCAAAACTATGCAGTTATTACATACTACTTTCCAAACCATTACTTTTATACTTCTATAAGGAATGAATATCATAAACTTTTCTTCATTTCCAAACAAACCATTTTATTCTATTTTATCTCATTTTGATGGAAGTTCCATCGAGGGTTTTTGAGTCCAGTGAGTAAGCTCACAAGACAAGTTCTTTGATGTATATATATTCCCGCGTTTAGTCCACAAATATCGAGAAAAAGTTAATTTAAGGTAAAACAATTAGAGCTAAAAAAAGAAACTTTGGGACCGGGCTATGTTGAACCTGAGAAATTTATAAACAACTATACGGTTAATTAACATACAAATAGTTTCAACATCCATTTATTATTTTGTTATTCGTTAATAAAATTCTGATGTTGCGTGTGTTTTTGTTGACCAAGTCTTGTATATACCCTAGACTTCTTTGAGACACCTACAGCAAGATATAAATGTCATTTTCTTTTGTGGGAGAAGGTGATGCAAATGCTGATGGCCAGTGGTACCTTGTTGGGGGAATTTGTGATCAACATGGCAAATAGCAAGTTCAATATATGGAGTACACGGAGAACATTGAAAGGGAAAAACTTGTAATAAATAAAATGCTAATCAAGATATATAATAAGCTCATTGAGCAGGTATAGCAATATCTCTTCTGCAGTAATATCAATCTGTTATGTTATTAAGATAGAAACAAAAAGTGCAAGCACTTGGTTACAAACAGACACGACTTGAACATCTTATATTCTTTCACAATACAACAACACCCATTACATAAATAATTATTGTGTACCCCCCAGAAAAAAAGAAGACTAGATAGCACTTGAATTTATTTTCTTCCTCGTATCAAACTACCAATACATGCTGCCAAGCTGCTTCTTATTAATGGCATTATTAATTAGCAAAAGTAAAACTATAGTTCACATACATAAACTCGGACACATCAAGTTACCTTGATTTTCCTTTGAAAACCATAACATTTCTCTCATAGAAATTTCCATTTCCATTCCCCAAAAACGCTCCATCATTACCAACACCTTTTCCACCTTTTCCGCTGCCACGACGTGGCAAAATGGGAATACTATCACTATCTTCACTCTCAGACTGAAACATCGGGCTATTACGCTGCTTCTTTAGATTAGCACAATGAAGACATGCCAAAGGCTTCCAAACCCCAGATTTATACACTTCATCAAACATGTAAAACAATGCATTAGGAGGGTGTTGCTCAGGACCCTCCACAGTTAAATCCAAAGTACCACCATTAGCTCGAATCCTTGCCACCACAGAAAGACCAACATCAATTTTATTTCTATTAAAATAACTTCCATTACTATGAGCATAATAGTGTGCCACAGTCAGAGTATCATAAGCACCTTCATTACCCTTTTTCTTCCACTCCATAACAAGAAGACCCCCTTTGTTTCCATTCCCATATAAGTGAACAAAAGTGTCCGTAACTCCACCCCAATTATTAGTGGTCCTGTTTGACCTGACTGACATGATAGAATTAAAAGCATTGCACCTTCTGTAATCATACTCCTGAAGATGATCGTTTTCAGTTCTTTGAATCGCTAAGTGTAAACCACAATTTGGACATATGCTTTCACGTAG